CACCTCAACCTCTGGCCTCTCAACCTGGAGTAATACTTGACGACTGTGACTTGTATATGCCACATGTAACCCATGAGCAACCTACTGGTGACACCTTCCAAGTACAGTATATCCAGAACAGAAACTCTTCTCCTGACAACCTGCACTACAGCCACAGCCTCCCAAATGCTCTCCCTGGTACTGCCTCGGCTATCCCACCTGTGTTGTCCACCCAATAGAGCAGCTGAATGGCTATATAGTGCTGAAAGGGAAAGCACTGTACTTGACCATCCCTCTTTCCCCGAAGCTCTAATCTAATTCAGTAGTCTTTGTTGGGACCCCAGTTTGAAAGACCTAATGCCCTCCCTGTCACTGCTATGTGACAACCTCATTGGTGTCTCTGGGCCTCAAATACACCAGAGCCTCTGCACTTGATCAAATGGTACTTTTTTGATGAGGCCTCCTCCATGGCCACATTTAATACTGCACTGTCTCCCAAGGAAGGTCCCTTCTCTTTTCCTTTGTGGTTTTTTCTTTTTGAGACAAAATAATCTCACCATGTAGCTCTGGCTAGCCTAAAACTCACAACCCTCTTTCCTCAGCCCCACAACTATTTCTGGGGATTAAAAGTGTGCATCACCACACATGGGTCCCTCACGTAATTCCCTTTTTTTTTGTGGGACTAGGGTTTGAACTCAGGTCTTTGTGCTTGTAAAGCAGGTGCTCTACCACTTGAGCCACCCCTCCAGTCCATTTTACTCTAGTTATTTTGGAGATGGAGTCTCCTCAAGCCACAATCCTCCCAATCTCAGCCTCCCAAGTATCTAGAAATAGAGGTGTGAGCCACGGGCACCAGCTCTCTCACCTTTTTACTGTGCCCACAACAGTCATCACTGCCTAGCATCCTGTACATTTCTTCAGCCATCCTCCTCCCTCATTCCCATTAGATAGTGTACTGGGTCTCCTGGGTTTTGTTCTTCAGTGAACTCTGATACCTGGAACTTCTAGCACCTACTTTAATAGCTCCCCAAAGAAAAGTTCAACATGTATTTTAAAAGGTAGTTAAACCAATTAAACATTTTAGAATGTTTTTCAGTTATATGGAAACAAAGCCTGTTTAACAGAATATCTTGTTGCTCAAGGGTTGTACTTACCAAATGTATAATTTTCCCTAGTTCAAATTGCTTGTGTTATAAGATAAGTGAAAAGACATAATGCACTTACAGATTAGAAGACTTAATATTGTTAAGATGGCAATACTTCCCAAAGTGACCCACAGATTCAATGCAATCCCTATCAAAACCCCAGTTGGATCAGTTGTGGTGATGTATGCCTATAATCCCAGCACTTGGAGGATGAGGCAGGAGGACAACATTTTTGAGTAGAATGAGGACTACACAGTAAGTTCAAGAAGTCTGAGCTACATAGCAACACCATTTCAAAAAAAATAAGGGCTGGGGATGTAGCTCAGTAGTAGACAGTTTTCCTCACATATTTAAGGCCCTGGGTTCCATCCCTAGCACCACATACACACATACTCAAACTGGATCAAAGACCGAAATGTTAAGAGCTAAAAGAAAACATACATAGGGGCGAATCTTTTATCATTTTAGATTTGGCAGCCATTTCTCATGTAAAACACCAACAGCTCAAGCAAAACATAGATAAGTTGAACGTCAAAATAAAAAACTTTTGTGCAAAGCACACTATGAAAAAAGTGAAACACAAGATGGGCATGGTGGTACATACCTATAATCCCAAACTGGCAAAACTGAGTGTGAGAATCAACTTAGGTTGGGTCTTTTCTATCAAAGGATTTAATCAGTAACTGCCACTGTTACAAATGTTAGTCTCACTAACTTGCTTCCTATATGCTCGCTTCATGGATTAGCTTAACATGGTAAAAATTTCTATTAAGAACAAAGGGTTGTTATCCTCAGCTGGACAAAATTCCACTAGATACCCTGGTTCTGGAGCTGATAACCAAAAACAGTTACTGCTTCTTTGAGCTTTGAAACTTCTTCATCTTCAAAGCCCCTCTAGATGTCCTCTTTCTAATTAGCCAACTACATAGACTGTGAACCCAAAACCTGCGCAATTCAGGAGAGGGGCAACATTGCATTAGAGATAGAACCACAGCAGACTCCCCACTGGGGGAGCACCCTTCTGCAAAAGTAAATTTTGCCTTGCCTGTTGACTTCTGAGTTGTGTTATCTCGTTCTTTCTCTCTCTCTCTCTCTCTCTCTCTCTCTCTCTCTCTCTCTCTCTCTCCCTCCCTCCACTCCAGTATCTTAAAGATATTTCTAACACTGAGGGAAGAGGATTCTGAGTTTGAGAACAGCATGAGTTATATAGAGAGACCTTGTATCAGAAAACAAACAAATAAAAATGTAAAATGACAACCTACAGAATGGGAAAAAATATTTGCAAAATCATAGATCCAAAAAGGGTGTAAAGAACTTTTACAAATCAACACTTTCAAAATGAGCCAAGTACTTGAATAGAAATTTCTCCAAAAAAAGATATATATATATATATATAGTCAATAAAAACATGAAAAGATGCCCCAAATCATTAGTCATTAGGAAAATGCAAATCAAAACCACAATGAGATATTATTTCATACACATTAGGATGGCAATTATCAAAAAACTGGAGATAAGCGTCAGTGAGGATGTGGAGAAATCAAAACCCTCATGCACTGTGGGTAAACATATAAAATGGTGAGATTGCCAGGAAAAAGAGGTGAGTAGTTCTTCAAGAAGTTAAACACAGAGTTTCCAGATGACCCAGCAACCCCACTCATAAGTACATATGTAAAAGAACTGAAGACTAAAGACTAGGGCTAGAATGTAGCTTAACAGTAGAGCACTTGCCTAGCATGCACAAGAAAGCCCTGGATTTCATCCCCAGTCCTGAAAGAAAATAAAAAGGAAAAGAAGGAAAGAAGAAAGGAAGGAAGGAAGGAAGGAAGGAAGGAAGGAAGGAAGGAAGGAAGGAAGGAAGGGCTCAAACAAAAATTTATACATGAATATTCATGACCTCACTGTTCATAACAGTCTAAAGGTAGAAACATAAATGCCTGTCAGCTGATGAATGGGTAGATAAAATGTGGTCCATCTGCACAATGGAATATTACTCAGGCTAAAAAAGGGAAATTCTGATACATGTTACAACACGGATGAGCCTAGAGAACACAAAAGGTTACACACTGTACAGTTCCATTTACACGAAATGCCCATGTAGACAGAAAGTAGATTAGTGGCTGCTAGTAGCTAGAGAGAGGAAAGAATGGAGAGGGACTATTTCATGGGAACAGGGTTTCTTTTTGGGGTGATAAAAGTGTTCTGAAACTAGACAGCGGTGATGACTGCACACTTAAATGTAATAAAGCCCACTCACTGTACACTTTAAAGTAGATAAATGGTGTTATTTCAACTAAGAAAAAAGAAAAGCAAAAATAATGAACAATGTCCCCTCCCCCGAAAAAAAAAAAGTATGCTATTCTTAGTTTCCAGATGAGCCAGGTACTAAAACAGTGAACTTGAATTTACCTCAATCCCAATTCTATAGCTTCTCTCTTTCTTCTAAATAAGTAACCTGCCTCTGGGCAAGCCAGCCAATGCTACCTTCAGCTAGAGACCTCCTCAGTTGCAGTAGTACTACCAAAGAACTCAGCCTCTTACTGCTATGCATTTGTCCACCCCAGCCTACACCTGGTCGTGATATTTTCATGTTGTAAATGTGCCTTGCAAGAGACCAGCAGTATCCTGTTAGGAGCTGTAATAACTGCCTATCTCCATCAAGCCTGACAGCCACCTGTCAAGGCATCAGGGCTGGACTGGTGCCCAGGCAATGCACCATGGACAACCTGTGCATTCTTCACTCACCCTTGTCCCTGGGAGGGGCAAAAGGAAACACTTTCTTCAGAGAGTTTTGTTAGGGTTCCTTGGCTTGTCTGACTCAGGTAGTTGAGATCTGCAGAAGTGTTGGGCATCTCCCAACTCCCACCTGCCAGTCACATTCCAAACTCAAGTCCTGGCCAGACAGCCCCAGAGTTGGGTGCAACCTCTTCCAGCCCAGAAGGTCTCTACCTGCATGCCACAGTGATCATCTTAGTGCTTGAGGGTGACTGAGTCATATTCCCTTTGGGCAGATCAGGAAAATGCAATGGTCCCATCTATAGGTCATACAGAGAGAACTCAAGATCAAGTCCACAGTTGACCAGTTTGGACTATTTATTTAGTTAGTTAGTATTTAGCAGTATTGGGGATTGAACTCAGGGCCTCAAACCTGCTAGGCAAGTGTTTTAGCCATATCCCCAGTTCTCTTTCTTTTAGGGTTTTTTTTTTTTCTAGGGGGGGTGGGTGGGACTGGGGTTTGAACTTGGGGCTTCATGCTCGCAAAGCAGGTGCTCTACTTCTTGAGCCATACCTCCAGTTCATTTGCTCTGGTTACTTTGGAAATGGGGATCTCTCAAACTATTTGCCTGGTCTAGCCTTGAACCATGATCCTCCTGCTCTCAGCCTCCCAAGAACCTAGTATTACAGGCGAACCAGAGTCTCACACTGTTACTCCGGTTGACCCTGAGATCCTGCTACCTCTTCCTCCCAAACAGCTAGGATTATAGGCATGTACCACTGTGTCCAACACAGTATTTATTTTACCCTTTACTGTTCTAAGAATTACCAGTAAAGGGGTCAAAAATAGACCAAAGAAGAGTAGAGACGAATCTTTGAATAACTGTGTTGACAATTTAAAATTTTACCTTGTGTAGACACAAATATTATTGAGAAGAAGACTTTTCAACATATTAACACTAAAATGCTATACTCAGAAAAAGCTGGAAGGAGGTACACACACTGATAAGCTAACAGTGAGTAACTCTGGGTGACAGAATTATGGGTAGTTTTTCTTTTCTGTGTTTTCTAGATGTCAGAATCATCACAAATTCCTTGCAATAATGAAAAGACAATTGTGTCCCCACCTCCACTCAATCCAAACAGCATCCACCCCAGTACCTTGTTGAGTTTGCCAAGTGAGGATATGAGATCCGCCCACTCACTGGAGGACTCGAAGTTTCTTAAAGCCTTTTCAATTACTGAAGAGTAACTTCTGTATCTGCAATCATTCAGCAGCTCCTGCTCTTCTGGGTCCATCTCACATCCTCACAGCGAAGAATGTTGCTAAAAGTAAATGAAAAAAGAAATGAATGAGGAAGCTATTTGAGGACAAATCCTTCCCAACCCAGAACTGCAGAAGACCTGTGTCCACAAATACTCTATGCACAGGCAATCCAGTTCAAATATTTAGCAAGGCTTCTGGGCCAGGCATATGGTAAATAAAAGATAAAGAGTTCCGGCCCTCATGTATTCTAAGGGAGACAAAAGCACAGAAAAGAAAGAAGCAAGGATACTAGGTTCCCCCTAATTGACAAAATTAATTCTAGCAGTGAAACCCGCAAAGAAGCTGCTGAACGACATACTGTTGCCAGTTGGTAATTCTGAATGCAAACAGCTTCTCCCATCACTGGGCATTTATAAAACTTAAGGACATGCTCTTAGTCTGAAAGGTCCACTTAGCAATTCAATCCTCTACGACTAGACTGGGAATCTGGAACTATTCTACAAGAAATCAGATGGCAAAAACATTACAGAAAATAAGGATGCAGGCTGAGGATATAGCTCCATGGCAGAGTGCTTGCCTAGCATTCGTGAGGTCCTAGGTTCTAACCCCAGCATTGCAAAAACAAACAACAAACAAACAAAACGCCCAAAGACAGGACGGTGAAGCCTCAGACAGCAGAGCTGTTCCACACAACCACACACTATCAGGCAATGAAAAGAAGAAGTGCTGACACATGCTACCACATAGACAACACTTAAAAATACAGCTCAGTGGAGGGGTCAGCCACGCAAGACTATACGCTGTGATTCCATCCAGATGAGATACCCAAAGTGCGCAAATCTCACTCTAGGAATGGCAGGCAGGTTAGTGGGGGTGGAAACAGGCAGTTACTGCCAGTGACCACAAGGGATCTTTTTGAAGTAATGGAAGGAAATGTAGACTATGGTGATGACGGCACAACTCTGTAAACTTACTAAAAAATCACCAAATTATATACCTGAATGAATGAATTTTATGGTCTATAAATTATAGCCAAATAACATTTTTTAAAAAACTAATCTCTGAGTTCCATCCACTCAGCAGGCTTCCCCAGCCTTCCCCAATCTTCCCCTTCTCAGAAAGTGGTCTCGCCATTGGTGAGACATTTGTTTTCTGGACTCTTCCTCCTTTCCCCTGCCACATCCAACCCAACCCCTGTTGGCTCTCCTCCAAAACATTTCACTTAATTGCTCTTCACCCCACTTCCCTGTGCAAGTTTCCAAAAGCATCCTAATGGCACTCGCTCTCATTTTTATCCCTGTACAACATATTTGCACACAGTACTCCTAGAATCCTCTTAAAACATAAATTATAACCATTGTTGCCATGTTCAAAATTCTTCCTACTAAACTTACAATAAATCCAATGGAGTCTAGAAGGCTCCATTTACTTCTCTCCTCACTGCACTCTGCATGGCTCAAGACAGACTCACCCTACCACAGAGCCTTTGCACATGCTGTGCCTCTCTGCAAAAATATGCTGAATTATGCATACACGTCCACAAAATTCACCCTTAGGAAGACTTGTACCTTCTTCTGAAATAACAGCCTTCACAATTTTAGAAAATATTAAGGAAATGATAGCAACAAGAGCTGGTGGTTTTATTTTGCCAAGTAAAAGCTGAAAGTTGGCCTATGTAAAAAGTCCATAGCTGGATCTTTTTCTTCCCCAGGAAATTCCTAGATCTGAAATCCAGCAAACTGCAGGACTACCAGACTCCATGCATAGTCTGTATATTAAGTGTCAGCACTGGGGAAAGAAACTTGAAAAGACAGGGCTCCTAGTTTCACAGTCCATAGCCTAATAAAAGAGGAAATATCTAAACACGTAATTTCAACTTAATATGACACTCAAGTGACAGGCTGAAGAACGAGACTGTGACTTGGGCAAGAAGAAAAAAAAAGAGGAAGCCCAACTACCAGCAGAGGAGTCCTCAAAGTCCATAGGTGTGGACAGCTTGTGTTACCAGGAAGAAAGCTGCATGTAGGTGTGTTGAGGAGGTGAGGCACAAAGGTGCACCACTGTTCTGGTCATGACAAGGAGAGCGCTGGCCAGGTAAGAGCAGGTAACTGGTTGGCTGTACAGAGAAAGTACTATTTGGTCTAACAGTGTAGGTGAGAAGTTAGGAAATAGTCCTTCAAAATATGGAATCTGATGATTCTATACCAATCTTCGAGAGCTTGAAATATCCCTCATTTATGCATTCATGTTCTCAGACAACACACAGGAGTCCCATGAGATGGGTGTTATTAGTCCCAAGAAAATACTATTGGGAATCAGGTCATTCAGAAAATTGCTGGGGTCACTCAGGGAGCAGCTGGAAGAACTAGGATTCCAGCTGGGCTCAATAGATAAGTTATACAGGTGCAAAAATGAATAGTTCAGTCCTTAAATAACTCTTTTGTCAATCAATGATCTTTCCATCTATCCTGGGTACCTTCTTTGTGACATCCAATAGTCAAGTAAAGTGATAAAGTTATATAAACTACAAACAATTACACAAAGTAGCAGTCATAGAAATAAGTGTATCTGACCAGCAATAAGTGTATATCACCGGAAAATTGAAAATGGCAATAGGGAATCTCTCACCTTACCCATTCTTAATTTCTTAGAAAAATAAGTTCATTTGAAAAACTAAGCAAATCACTGTAAACATGCCCACAGGAAGGAAGGAATTACATGAAAAGGAAGACAGTGAAAAATGACAAACCCTTCCAGGAGCAAGAACATTTACCCATATGTAATGACCATAGTCTGCAGCACAGAAACACTCAGCACCAATTGCCCTAATCATCTCCTGGGCACGTTATCTTTATTTATTTATTTTTTTTATCCATATGTGCATACAATGTTTGGGTCATTTCTCCCCCCTTCCCCCCGCCCTCTCCCACTCCCCCCCCACCCCCTCACTACCAGGCAGAAACTATTTTGCCCTTATCTCTAATTTTGTTGAAGAGAGAGTATAAGCAATAATAGGAAGGACCAAAGGTTTTTGCTAGTTGAGATAAGGATAGTTATACAGGGAGTTGACTCACATTACTTTCCTGTACATGTGTGTTACCTTCTAAATTAATTCTTCTCGAACTAACCTTTTCTTTAGTTACTGGTGCCCTTCTTCTATTGGCCTCTGTCACTTTAAAGTATCTGCATTAGTTTCTCTGCATTGAGGGCAACAAATGCTATCTAGTTTTTTAGGTGTCTTACCTATCCTCACCCTCCCTTGTGTGCTCTCGCTTTATCATGTGCTCAAAGTCCAATCCCCTTGCTGTGTTTGCCCTTGATCTAATGTCCGCATATGAGGGAGAACATCCGATTTTTGGTCTTTTGGGTCAGGCTAACCTCGCTCAGAATGATGTTCTCCAGTTCCATCCATTTACTTGTAAATGATAAGATTTCATTCTTCTTCATGGCTGAGTAAAATTCCATTGTGTATAAATACCACATTTTCTTAATCCGTTCGTCAGTAGTGGGGCATCTTGGCTGTTTCCATAACTTGGCTATTGTGAATAGTACCGCAATAAACATGGGTGTCAGGTGCCTCTGGAGTAACCTGTGTCACAGTCTTTTGGGTATATCCCCAAGAGTGGTATTGCTGGATCATATGGTAGATCTATGTTTAGGTTTTTAAAAAGCCAACAAATTTTTTTCCAGAGTGATTTTACTAGTTTGCATTTCCACCAGCAGCGTAAAAGTGTTCCTTCCCCCACCCCCACCCCCACAGCCTCACCAACACCTGTTGTTAGTGGTGTTGCTAATGATGGCTATTCTAACAGGGGTGAGGTGGAATCTTAGTGTGGTTTTAATTTGCATTTCCTTTATGGCTAGAGATGGTGAGCATTTTTCATGTGTTTTTTGGCCATTTGAATTTCTTCTTTTGAGAAAGTTCTGTTTAGTTCACCTGCCCATTTCTCTATTGGTTCATTAATTTTGGGACAATTTAGTTTTTTGAGTTCCCTATATATTCTGGTTATCAGTCCTTTGTCTGATGTATAGCTGGCAAATATTTTCTCCCACTCTGTGGGTGGCCTCTTCAGTTTAGAGACCATTTCTTTTGTTGAGCAGAGTTTTTTAGTTTTATGAAGTCCCATTTATCTATGCTATCTCTTAGTTGCTGAGCTGCTGGGGTTTCGTTGAGAAAGTTCTTGCCTATACCTATTAATTCCAGAGTTAATTCCTACTCTTTCCTGTATCAACTTTAGAGTCTGTGGTCTGATATTAAGATCCTTGATCCATTTTGAGTTAATATTGGTATAGGGTGATATTCATGGATCTAGTTTCAGTTTTTTGCAGACTGCTAACCAGTTTTCCCAGCAGTTTTGTCGAAGAGGCTGTCTTTTCCCCACCGTATATTTTTAGCGCCTTTGTCAAAGATAAGTTTGTTATAGTTGTGTGGCTTCTTATCTTGGTCCTCTATTCTGTTCCACTGGTCTTCATGTCTGTTTTCGTGGGCATGTTATTTTTAATTTGGTCTTTCAGAGGCATGATTAACATGTACTGGGGAAAAAAATTAAGACACCTAATAAGGGTAGGTTTTAGGGTAGAGGTATCCAAAACACCTTGCTAAAAACAAACAAAAAACCATACAAAGGTTTTTTTGCGAGGGGGGCTGCTGTCTCCAGGTGAGGGCAACACCTGCGGGTACGATCAGTAGCCAGTGCTTGGAGGAGCTAAAGGGGACACCCGTGCTGACGACAGCCGGATTCCTGCAAGACGCAGGGCCAGGCCAGCACAGCGCGCGCACTGCGGCTGCAGCCCTTCTCCGAGGGACAGTCTGGGGACACAGGAGTCTTTCCTTAACAGCAAAGGCCCTCAGTTCTTAAAGATGAGTGTCCCTAGCCTCTCAGGACCGCACCGGCAAACAAAGGCTGCGCTTCCCCACCCTCGGCCCGCAGAGGGGATGGGCGGTGGTGACCCACCTGACCTCCACCTGCGGGACGTGAGGCCGCGTTGGTCTGGGCGTGGGCATGCCCGCGCATCCCGCGGCGGGGACCCCTCCCGGGCTGCCTCCCGAGGGTCTCCAGCCGGAGCCCCTCGCCCACGCGCGGCCACGGAGGGCTGTCCCCGCACTGCAGCAGAGCGCGCCGCGGGCCCAGGCCATGCTCGGGGAACCACCTGCATCCCGGGACCGTCCCCACTGCGTCGCTGATGCCCCCGCACCCAGGAAGGACGCCAGCGCCGCCTCCCCGCTCCCGGGCCCGCGGAGAGGAGACGCCCGGCTCCTCAGGCTCGCCCGGCGGCCGAGAGCCGCCGCGGGCACGACTCACCGGAGGCGGCGGCCCTTGTCTGCGGGCGCGCCCACACGCGAAGTGGCGGAGCCAGTGGACTGTGGGACAGGGAGCCGGTCGACTGCGGGAGAGAGCCAGGGAGCGCAGCGGCGCCTCGGAGAGCGGGAACCACGGAGGAAACACCGCGCCCGAATCCCCGGCGGCCGCGGCTCCCCGGCCGAAGCCTCTGGAGGGGCGGGGCCGGGGCCTCTGGAGGGGCGGGGCCGGAAGGCGGGGCCTTGCTCCCTGGAGGCGGGATCCGGGGCGGGGCCTTGGGGCAGGGCGGGGCCTGAGAGGCGGCCCCTGGGGCGTGGGTGGGGCAGAGGGCGGGGCCTTGGCGTGGATGGGCGGGGCCTCGGCGCGCGGGGCGGGTTCTGGCGCTCCCCACACCCACACCCCCACACCCCCGAGGCGGAGTGAGGGAAGCTGAGGCTAAGCAATCTCTGTTTCTCATCGTGGGCGTCGTCTGGCGGCGAAGCTGCTCTGGGAATGCTTTGCACAGGTGGGCGGGGTGGCGTCTGCCTCTCACCTAGGACTTTCCTGCACAATCGAAGGGAAGGGGACATTGGTCAGTGTCGGCCCAGCGTTATCCACAGGAACTTCGGCACTGGGAGGTGCTTACAGGTGCATTGCACCTGGCTCATTCCATCCTTCCCATCCGGACCACACCCAAGTCCTTGCTTGCTCGGGGAGCAGAGGGCTTGGGGGCCCTCGGTAAGATGGTGGCAGGAGAGGTGGTCATTTCTTCCTGGGATGGGCACTCGCTGAGAAAGAAGGACATCGTGCCAACTCCAGAGAGCGTTAATATTTCCAAACAAATCCACACCCCTCCTGTTATCCAGACTCACCCAACCTGGCCTGACAGCTGCAGGGCAGAAAGCGCCTTGGGGGCGGGGAGACCGCAGAGCTCACCTGAGCACTGGCCCTACCCAGATTACCCGTTGAGACTCCCAGCCAACCAAAACAGTGCCACCTGTTGATGACACTTGTGCTTTCTGTGGCGGCCTCTCCCCTTTTAACCCCTGAGGGTCCCTTAGGAATTTTTGGATCTAGTCATGGGGTGGGGAAGGTATAGGAACATTTAGAAATTGTGTAGAACGTTTTGCAGATACGTGTGTTTTCGGAGGGAAAAGGTGTGTGATTTGTATCAGATTCCAAAGTGCATCTATCACCTCTCCCAAAGCTCTGACTTTGATGACATCTTCAGTTGGCATCTACCAAGTGCTCCACATGTAAATCCTCTCTAATAATCGGTTTTAGGAATGGTCTTAAAATTGAAGCCGAGAATACAAACAGATTGAGCCATATTTAACAGGAAAAATCAGTTATTTTCATGAAAAATAATTTCTTAATGAAGATATAACAAACTCTACTCTTACAAAAAATGGCAGGCAAAATGGCCAAAAATTTGCCAAACAAGTGTATTTTCTTCATGTTCTACAAGTCCTAGCTACACTCACAATGTGCTGAATTAACAGAAATGAAAGCTTATTCTCACCATTACAACCAGTTCATTGGTATCAAAGCTATCATACACATATTTGTACCAATACATTTGTAGAAAATCATCTCCATCCCTTGCATTTATATGTTATCTAGCTGTAAAAAAATTATTAAAAAGAAAGAAAAACCCAGTTGTGAGGGGGCTAAGTTTGATAAATTCAAGTATTGTAAAACATTTTAAAAAACTCAATTTATAGTCAGGATTGGCAGTAAATATATAACATTAAGGAGTGAGCTGTGTTGGAGGCTGAGGCAGGAGGATCTCAAACTTGAGGCCAGCGTAAGCTCCATAGCAAGAGCCTGTCTAAAAACTAAAAAAGAATTGAATGGGGGCGGTGTAGCTCAGGGATAGCATACTTACCTAGCATGGGCAAAACCCTGTATTTAATCCCCACCACCACCAAAAAAGAAAAGAAAATGAATGGAATATTCTTAAAAGAAATCTGGGGGCTGGGAGTATAGCTCAGTGCCAAGAGCACTTGTCTAACATCTACAAGACCCTGGGTTTGATCCTCAGCAGCAGCACCACCCCACCCCCCAAAAAAACTGTTTTCTTCTTCTAATTTGTTTTGTCACACCCCCCCAAAAATTGTTTTCTTCTTCCAATTTGTTTTGTGACACTTAAAAGTCTACTTATAGCATCTGTGCTTACCTGCTTTTTTTTTTTAATTTTTGTTTTTTTATTATTCATATGTGCACACAATGCTTGGGTAATTTCTCCCCCCTGTCCCCACCCCCTCCCTTACCACCCACCCCGCCCCCTCCCTCTCCCCCCCACCCCCTTGATGTGCTTACCTGCTTAAGACCTGTAAATACAGCAGGTTTCTTGCATAATATTCTAACTAATTAGGGCATTTCAACTTTAATTGACATCTGAACTTAAATCCCTGCCCCTCTTGACAGTAAAAAGAACATCATAGGCCATGAGTCACTACATTATTGGCTTAAGCTCTCCTAGCCAGTGGACATTGGCCAACTGGATGAATTCTGAGTTTTGATACACAGATATTGATGATACTTGAAGATAGTCACTATGGTCCCGTGGTCCCTGTTGACTTCGCCTCCACTCCAGCATCACCCATCCCCTTTCCTCTCCCATGTTCCACTCCCATGTATAGCTCTGTCTTTGATGCTGTGCCCAGTTTGCAGTCAACTTTCAGTAACAAGTAAGTCTTTGTCATACTCATCATTATTGCCTGTTCCATCTCCACATCTCATCACTGTTCTGATTTTGGTCTGTCACAAACCTTGTTGCAGTTCAGTCAATCAAAGGAGAAGTCAAAGGGCCTAAAGGAGATGTTTGGACTGGAGGCTCAAGTAAAGATGGATCTCCAGTACCACCAAGATTTCAACACAGTGAGCACTGGTGCTAGGGTTTTGGGGGTTTGTTTGTTTGCTTTGGTAGCACTGGGGTTCAAACTCAGAGCTCCACATTTGTGAGGCAGGCACTCTATCACTTGAACCTCCAGTCCTGAAACTGGTGTTGTATGTGGTTGATCACACGGGCGTCGGCCTAGAAAACCATGTCACAGAAAAGCTGATGTAGAAGGGCCCAACCACTGACTTCATCTGGTACCAAAAAATATACAGCATATGGGATGATCCATTTGAAATATGCTACATTTAACCACACTTCATTTCTCCATTGAAAAAGTTACCCAGGCTAATTCAGGGATCCAAAGACTAGATAGTTTACAATCTCTTAGGTTAAGTGTGTCATCCTCCCTTCATTTTTTTTTCTAGGTCTGGGGCTTAAACTCAGGGCCTAGTATTTGTGAGGCAAGTGCTCTACCACTCTATACCCTCAGGCGCTTTTGCTCTTAATGTTTTTAAGATAAAGTCTCCTGTTTTTTAATTTGTTTTGTTTTTACAGTACTGGGGCTTGAACTCAGGGCCTTCACTTTGAACCACTCAATGAGTCTTCTTTTTGTGAAAGGTTTTTCAAGATAGGGTCTCCCGAACTATTTGCTTGGGCTGGCTTCAAACCATGATTCTCCTGATCTCCACCTCCTACATAGCTAGGATTACAGGCGTGAGTCACTGGCATCTGGCAAGTCTCCTTTTACCGGGGTCAGCCTCAGACTGCCATCTTCCTACCTTTGCCTCCCTAGTAGCTGAGGTTGCAGGCACATACCACCATACCTGTCTTATTTTTGAGACAGGGTCTTGCTGACTTTTTCACTGGGCTGTCCTTGCACCACAACCCTCCTGTCTTCACCTCCCAAGTAGCAGGGATTATAGACGTGTATCACCATGCCAGCCTTAATTTCCCTTAATTCTTGTGCCAAGAGTGACATAGACCTCACATAATTCTCTTGAGAATTCTGCAAAACTATGCTGAGAATGAGCTTTCAGTGCATGATTTTGTTTCCCTTTGAGTTCCAAGTTTTAATTATTTATTTCTCTAAAGCATACCATGAAAACATTTTAAGGCATTTCTGTTAGATTCTTTTTGATTGTAAGCAACAACCACCCAACTCAACTGAGCTAGAAGAAAAGAGAAATTTGAAAGATACAAGGATATCTTAGAACCCAGGATTCCAGGAATGATCTGAGGCCAGGGCAGGGTACCATTCTGGGAAGGGGACTGCTCTTTGGGCCACCCTGTAAATGTTGCTTGTAAGGGCTGTCCTTCTCTGGCTATGGCCTGGCTCCCTTTGCTCCTTAGGCCACCCGGGGCCAGACATAATGGACCACTCACAGTACCAGCTCTGATTCAGTCCAGCTGGTCCCGCTTTTTAGACAAAGGGCCTAGAGGTAGAGCCTTTACAGAGACTAGCAGGGGAAGTCACCTTGGGGCTGCTTCAGCTCAAATGTGAAGGAGCAGAGAATGGGGGAGGCAGATCTCCAGGCAGGGAATTGCTGGGCAGACCATTCAGGAGGTCCCACAGCTGTGCTTCTCAAGAGAAGCATTGTTGTGGCCAGGGTGGACAGTTAAGTGTCTTCTGAGTGCCTATGTGCTGATCCAGGTGGGATTGGCTGGCGACGAAAGAGGAAGTAGAAATAAAAGAGGCAGGCTGTTTACTTGTGTGCTTCCTGTCCTTGACTTAGAAAGAGCCTGCAATACGTAGTTCCCCAACCATTGTCCATCAGCAGGGGACACTGGAGGGGACACTTGCCTGAGAGGGAGACCAGAGTATGAAAGCCATTCAAATGTGTTAGAACTATGGCCTAGCTGAATGGGTGTTGGATTTAACTAATGACATAAAAAGGGACGAAAAGGAAGTTGAATGCAATCGAGGTAGGATTCAGACTTCTTTCCACCCAGAGGAGAAGTGAGGGTTATGATAGCTAAACTGACACTTCGAGGTGCTATCGTGTCAAGAAAAAGAAGCACCTGACCCATGGAATATACCAGAAATAGCAGGGTCACCCTGCTCAGTCCTGGTGCCCCCAAAAAATGAAACCTTGAGTATTTCTATACTTTCTAGATCCTTTAAGGAAAAATAGCTTTGTCCCTTACATCTGAAATGTGGCCTTCATGAGTGTGATAACCAAGTGTACTGTAGCAGTTTCACACTGTGAAGAGTCATTATACACTTGGGATATTTGGGGTCTTGCAGAATTTGCAGTTTCCCCTCTTTGTATTCCTTCCATTGTGTGCCTATTGGATTTTTGTAGTCTTGTTTGGCAAGCTATTCCTTCTCAAGCTATTCCTCCCAACTAGCTGAGATTATAGGCGTGAACTACTCACCTGCCCCTGTCCTAGAGAGATTCTAACAAACATTCCTTCTCAATGACAGAAATAGATTCAAACTATGAATCTATTTATTAAACAGTAAACTCTGAAGCAGACGGTCACCAGTTTTGCACAACTTTGTCACTGACTAGCTGGCCTTGAGGCTCAGTAGCATCTGGGGGCAGGAGAGCTAAGTAGACGGGGGTCTCAGCTCCCTCCTCCACAGTCCTGGAGCCATGACCCCTGGCCGTGTCTGTCTTCACCCAGCCAGGGCAGCAGGCGTTCAGCAGAACCCTGTCTCCTTTTCTCTTCTCATCTAGCCGCTGGGCCAGGATTCTTGATAAGACTGTGACCCCCAACTTGGACACCCCATAAGCTGAGTTGGGCCACCCTTCCCTCTCATGCACCTCATTTTTTGTGTCCTCCACAAACTTTTTCATGAGGTCCACCAGGTCCCCCTCTGTGAGCGTGTTGCATCGGAACTTCTCTTGCAGCTCTTCGCTGCAGTTTTCAAGGGCTTTCAAGCCCTGTAGGCTACTGACGTTCACCACTCTCCCTGCAACAGGAAGAAAACACCAGAAGAAGATCGTGAGGAAGTTCTCATTGTTTGAATATACCCAATACACAGCAGAGCCATGGTGCCATCAAGTGCCATTAAAAACCAAAAGCGAGTCTCGAAGGCATAAGATCCAGACACCGTGGGTTTGTCTGTTTTGTCTCCTGTTCTCCCAAGGGGAAGAACACATCTCCATTGGTCACAGGGGTCCCCTCTGCAGTGAGGCTGTGGAACCTCAGGTCTGTAGTAGACTTGGGACCACCCAAAAAAAGCAAAAAGTAATCAGAGGCCAGGAAGGGGCTCAGGAATCACATCTGTTTTGTGCTTTCACAGCCAAGTCAAACAAGGACATAAATGCAGACCCTAGGCCTCACCTGCAGCCCTGGAGTTAGAAATACAACAGCTACAAACACATCCTCCTCATGTAGGGTCAGCCTTCTGAAAATGTACCTTACCTTAGTAGTTAAAGCTGACCTGTGAGCTGCCCACAACCAAGCTCAGACACTGAACAGTGAGGACAGATCACCGTGAGTTTGAATTCCTTATTTGCATAAAAGACCCAAATGGGAACTTTTGGTGGGAATTCTCCCTGTATTAGTGGCTCCTTTGCCTTTGTCTGGGGACCTGCCACCTGGCTTGCTTTTGGTCAGAGCTGTATCTCCCATCTAGTTTGAGCAGATGTCCTAATAAAAACATCTTACCAGGACTCCTTTGAGTTGGTATAGACTTGTATCCACCATTTCTAGATCCAAGAACCCAGTTCCAGTGACAGATGCACCCTCCTCCTTCAATACTCACACTCCAGTGCTTTGGAACCTCAGGAGAAGGGCTAGAGCCCTCTCCCATGGACTAAGGGTCTCCATTCCTGGGTCTGCACACTAGGCTGTGTGTAGCCACTTCTATCCTGCAGTGTCTAAACCAGGATCAAGCAATACCTAGGAAGGACCCTTGTCTGCTCTTGGTACGGACACTTCCACACATGGAAGAGGTAGAGTCTCCATCTGGTTCTGATTTCATTAATCCTTAGTCTACAGTTAATATTCATTAAGCTATTATAAATTAATATTCATGATGGCAATAATTCACAGCTAGTGCCAGGTGTGGTGACACACATCTGTAATCCCAATTCCATGGAAGGCAGGCCAGCCCAGTTAAAAAAAGTTTGTGAGACCCTATCTCAAAAAACAAGCTGGGCCAGGTGCCGGTGGTTTATGTCTATAATCCTAGCTACTAGAGAGGCAGCGATCAGGAGGATTGCAGTTTGAAGCCAGTTCAGGAAAAAAGTGCGCAAGACCCAACACAAAACAGGGCCGGTGGAGTGGCTCCAGTGGCAGAGTGCCTGCCACGCAAGTGCGAGGCCCTGAGTTCAAACACCAGTACCGCCAACCTTCCCCCAAACTGGGTGTGGTGGTATAGGTCTGTAATTCCAGCTGTTTGGTAGGAGGATTGTGGTCTGAGGTCAGTGGGGGAATGGAAAGAGTGAGACCATATCTGAAAAATGCACCAACACAAACAGACCTGGGGGCATGGCTCAAGGGGTTGAGCACCTGCCTGGTGAGTGAAAGTCCCTGACTTCAAATCCTAGTACCAAAACCACCACCACCACCAACAAAAACCACAGCTACTGAGAGACAAACATGCACATAAAAGTAAATATGCAGGCCAACAACCACACAACTGTACAATGGTCTGAAGCCTTTCTGGAAACAAAAGGCCAGTAACTGTGAATGTGCACATTTATTCTGCATTATAAAACACCAAGGGGGGGAGATTATTTTTTTACATACTATTCTGAACCCACATTCTTTGCATCCAATGGGATCCCCAGGTTGTACTTCATATTCCAAGTGCGCTTACCCACAGGCACACATTGGGTGGGGAGCACATCGTCCTGGAGATCCTTGAGGGCCCCAACCCTGCACAGAGATGCCCTCAGTCTGTCCTCAAAAAATAGCCCCTTAGCCCCCCACCAGGGACCTTTGAGTCTTTACTTCTTTCCCCTCTCACTTTCAATGGTAATATGTATTTCTTTGGTAACTCTTAATGTTTAAAAGTTTGAAAACTACAGAGAAGTTGCAAAAATAGTACAGTAAATGCCCACATAGCTTTTACCTAAGCTCACCAATTGTTAGCATCTTGCTACTCTTACTTTCTGCCTCCATGTCTCTGAGTTGCAGTTATCAGAAACCTTCACTTTAAATATTTTAGTATTTATAGTGGTCTCTCTGCCTACATGAGACTGATTCCAGGATCCTCCTTTGATGTCAAATTCTGAGTATGCTCAAGTCACTTACGTAAAAATGGCAGAGTATCTGCATAGGACCTACACACATCTTCCCAGACCCTTTAAACTCTCTAGCTTACAGCACCATATAAATGCTGTATAAATGGCTGTTGTATTGTGGGTTCTTTTTTTTTTTAAGGAATAGTGACGAAAAGTCTGTGCAAGTTTAGTACAGACACAAATTCCTCTGGAAACATTTTCAATCCATAGTTGGTTGACTTCATGGATGTGGAACCAGAGGATACAGAGGGCTGACTGCATGTGAAAAGGATGTCCTCTACCTGACACGGGTGTCCACCATCATCTCAAGAAGAGTCCTGACTGAAATGTCCCCAGTTGTCCCAACAGCGTTCTTGTTTGTTTTAATTCAAGATCCAATGTGGGTTCATGGACTGCCTTTAGTCATCCTATCTCTTTAGTCTATTGTTGTCTACTTGACAATGACCTGTTTCGAAGACTGTGGTCTTATTTTGTGGTATTTTCCCCAATTTAAATGGGTCTGATTTTCTCATGGTTAGATTCCAATAAATATTTCAGCACCAGGATTCCTGCACTGGTGATGTATTCCTCATTTCTTTCTAAACAGCTTTGTTCTCAGTCACTTGGATGCTAGGAGGAATTAAATCTAAAAGAGTCAGGAAGAAAGAAAAGAAACAAATTACAGGAGCCACTGGATACCTTCAAGGAAACAAATCTCTTGGTGGCCTCTTTGATCTGAGTGAGGGCAAACACCTGAGACAAGAGTCCAGACAGCCACAAAGGGTCAGTCCTGAAACCAAGTGGGTCCAAGGAACTCTGAGAAGAGCTGCACCTTCTTCCCAGGTCCAGATGACTCTTTAGGTCCTGAAACAATGCGGGTGCGCATTCTACAAAGAGCAGGCAAGTAGCTCCCTCTAGTGGTATACTGTTCACTTAACCTGTTTTCTCAAAATCTTGAACAAATAAGCCAGCCAAATGTTTCTTTAAATGTCTTTTTTTTTTTGGTAATTTAGTTATTTAATGCAACCACTAATCTAATGTGTCATCAATAAAATCTAAGCAGTTTTATCACAAAATCAGGGTTATATTTAGTGGACATGCATATTAATTAGCTATACAACTTAACATTACACCAGAAAAAGAATTGAATATAAAAGGTCTCTTAATTTTTGGTACTTTTGAAATTTCATGGCACAGATTACCAAAAAAACTGTAAAAACAGATTTCAAATATTTTCAATAAAATGGTAAAAAATTGAGTAAGCCTTTAAGTTTTGATACTTGGCTCAATATTTAAAACATCAAGCTGCCCAAATCTGTCAAAATTGACAGGTAAATATTTACAATGACTAGACAGACTTTAGTTACAATGGTATAGGAGGTCTACTCCCTCCTATTAAAACCCTTTGGGGTTAAATTTCTCAATGCAAACATGTCTTTGTAAATACTGTGATAATATAAACTTGAGGAGACATACCTAGAGTCAGGTAGGAAATGAAAAATAAGACACGTCAATCTTGTTTCTGACTGGTCATCACAAAGCCTTCTGGCCCCCAAACAGCCAACACTGTTTCTTGATGTAAAACTAAGAAGAGCGTTCTCTTTCATTACGTATCAAGCAGGGTTCAAACTCTAGTAACCTGCTTCTATAGTGTAATAAGCAGAGCACCAAATTTATAAACTGATATGGCAACTCAAAAGACTATAAAGCACACTTTTCAAACAAAACCAAAGTTTTGTTTTGCTTTTCTGCATTGTTCTATGTGCCATGTTATTTTTGACTCTTAAGTGGCTACCAATAAGAGAAGAATTAGGGAAACTTTGAACATCTTGTACTTTTCATCAAGGCTAAAGTGCAAAATATCTCTGTATCTCTGGTATTTTAATAGGAAAAACATCAACCATAATAAAGGAACTGAAGTGATAGGAAAACTAATACAAAAGAACTCTTAAATATACAACTGAGGATTACATATTATCAATTTAACTTTTCTTTCTTCAGTGAAGTTTGTTAATAAACCATATTCTCACAGAACTTAAGATTTTGTTTGATTCTCTTCCCCATGACCAGAAATTCCAAACATACAAGGGAAAAAAATGGAAAAAAGTAACATTGCATGACAATGGACACTGAGTTCATAAAGAACCTCTTTAAAATGAGATATTATGGAAGAAAATACCATGAAAATAATAATCCTATGAGAATCATTTTTAAGTATAGTAAATGTGAGCCTTGGTCTTCATGAAGATACTACAATTTATATAGAAAACTATAAATATACAAGACTCCAAGGAAAAAGGGTAGGGAAATCAGAATACATATTATTTAACATTCTATAGGCCTAAAAAACTGAGGAGAGAAGGAAAAAGATGCTAACTGGATCTTTACTTAAGAATACAGAACTATGAAAAATTCCTGGGTCAAAGGGTGCTCCAAATGGAACCATACTTTGTGAAAGCACACAACTTAGATATATTACTAAAAGGAAAGAAAAAGCACTGAATCACTGCAGTCCTTTCCAAAAAGTAAATCTTAAATTAAGGAAATGATTCTAATAGTGTAAACGAGTCTGGCTCAGAAATAAAACTGAACATATCCAAGATCTGTCCATAAAAGTTATGATGGTACATGTTTAATATTAAAGAAAGAAGCTATAAAAAGTTCTGTCTCAGAATTGGTTTTTAAAAGCTCATTTGTGCTCACTGGAGGGCGCATAATAAAGTTCCATGGGTTTGTTCACTTTCCAGTATTTCTCACTGACCAACTCCAAAGAAAAAGAGCCATTTAACACAGTGAACTGGCCACTGGCTGTTGCTATATAAATGGTATACTGCTGTATCAAGGTTCATCTGGTTTGATTCTCCTTTGCTTCGAAGTTCTTCGAATGCTAACCTCACAGCCAGACCCTTGGATAAGTGATCAACAGTGGCATTACCTGAAGTCTTTATGTATCTCGTTTGTGCACTGTCATCTTTTTCCATAAGCGTGGGATGAGGCCTGAAAACTAATTCAATCTCACTAGCACCATCCATTACTGGATCAATTGCCACTGTTGCATTATTATTATCAAGTTCAACCCAGAATTATCAGATGTTTTGGTGCGTTTGTTACTAGGGCCTGCTTCTTGGTTGCTGTGTGTGGATGCATTACTACAGTGTGAACTGTCACCATCATTTTCTGCACCACTACCATTTTCAATCTGTTGCTTCTTGCCTCGCTGCAATCTGTTTATGGCCTGTATCTTCAGTCCTTCCTCAATGCTGTGACTGAGTGCTTGCTGATTATTGTGCTTATTGATCCTGGCTAATACTCTCTCTCGATGAGCTTCCTATTCATCACGACTTGGGTAAATTTCACTGATGAGTGCATCAAAGTTTGGGTCTGGCCTTAGTGAGCGTTTGGAAACTAGCTTTTTCTGACAGGTTGGGCATTCTTTGTTGCCACTTCTAAGGGCTGTGATAATGCAATCTGCACAAAAACCGATGTAAACACTCCTTTGTAGTCATGGTGTTCTTCAACATATCCAAACAAACTGGGCACATTAACTCACTGTGTAGACTTCTAGGTGAAACCACAATTTCCAAGCCATCTGTTATTGCCTCCTGAGGTGTTCGTTGTAATTCACATAAACTGAGTTCCCATGTTTTGCTTAATGGTCGAGTTCCATTTGTCTGCACTGTCTGAGACATCGCGGCTCCTGCCCCAGCCCGGGGCTCTGCTGGCCGCAGCCGCAGCAAGACGCAGGGAACACTGAGGCACACTATGGCATAGGGCGAGCCTCGGCTTCCTCAATGGACTCGGGAAATACAATCAGGGCCACTCAATGTTCAGGAGAGACTGAGGGGAGGCCGGCTCGGCCGGCACTGCGGGGAGGGCGGGGCTCTTTAAATGTCTTAAATCTAAACAAAGAGAAAGGAAGAAGCAATGATGCTTAGCATTTTGTCCCTCAGGTGAACGTGAAGTTCTTTTTAAAGTCACAAATATTCTCAGCACACTATAAACCAGGAATTCCCTCTTTGGGCAGTAATGTTACAGGGTTTTTAAAGAGAGTGATTCACCTGCTTTGGTGAATCTGGAGTGTGGCCAAGCCCAACCCTCCCTAGAACCTTCCATTCTCTTTCAAAATGGCTTGGTTTACATCATTTGGCACTGTAAAACTCACTTCACGAGAGCGAATTATCCTAATTTGATTGGGTGGTAAAATCAAGAAGCCCAAAGACTGTTTCCAGCTCCATTACTACCTGCCTGTGATCACTTCTTTGGGTATCAGTTTCCCTCTCTGTAAAGTGGAGATGCAGTGACATGAGGGTAGCTCTCAAATTCTCATATTATAAAATTCACCAGAGAGAAGACTTCTGATGACTTGGTAAAAGACATCTCTACAATGGAATATTATGCAGTCATATAAAGAATAAGAAAACTTTCTAATCAGAAAGAGCCCAGATATGGGAAATAAAAATCCAGCAAGGTGGCACTGGATATGGTTGTGTGTGGCTGTCATCCCAGCTGCTCAGGAAGCAAAGGCAGGAGGACCACATGAGCCCAGGAGCTCCAGGCCAGTCTGAGAAACATGGGGAGATCCCATATCAACACAAAAAACAGGGCTGGGGTCGTGACTCAAGCAGCATGGCACCAACCCCAGTTTCTCCAAAAACAATAGTAACTACTACTATTTGCTCAAAACAAAAAACAACAACCAAACAAAAAGCAAGGTAGAACATACTGTGCTGACTTTCACCTTTTGTGTGAAAAGGGGAGTCTTTAAAATGTGCATTTAGCCAGGCACCAGCGGCTCATGCCTGTAATCCTAGCTACTCAGGAGGCAGAGATCAGGAGAATGGCAGTTCCTAGCCAGTATGGGCAGATAATTCTGGAAATCCTATCTTGAAAATATCTGACACAAAAAAAAGGCTCGTGGAGTGGCTCAAGTGGTAGAGCACCTGCCTAGCAAGATGAGGCCCTGAGTTCAAACCCTAGCACTGCCAATAAATAAATAAATTTTAAAATAAAATGTGCATTTAGACTTGCATTTACAAACTCCACCCCCTTTATCACTCACTTGCCCCATGCACCCAGACCAAAGATTCCTTAAACCATCACCTATAGCACTACCTGACCTTCTATGATCCCATCCCACTAGGAACCTAATAGAATTACCTGTGGAGTTGGCAGGGAGGGAACCAGTGGGCATGGGTACAATTCTTACCACATACCTTTTTCAGATTTTAAAACAAAATGTTAAATTAAGAAAATTCTGTATCTCTTGAGAACTACGGAATTCTTCCTAAGAATCATGGTTATCTTTTTGGGAAAGAAAATCCTCAGGGAAGTCAGCCATCCAGCCCCACTCCCAGCACATCTGTTACTTTATACTTCCAACTCTTTGTTAATGTCTGTCTCCCCACTGGACTCCGAGCTCCATGGATGGGATGGTCTCTGCCTGTGGTGCTCACCGTTGTGTCCCCAGCACTCAGCACAACGCTTAGGCAGGGAATGATTTTTTGTGGGAAAGAAACAATGTATTTATTGAGACTTGGGGAGCATGGCCCCTTAATAAAGAAAATTTCTTTTGTCTTTTCTAAATCAGTATGTGAAGTTTGGTACAAGAAGAAAGGAGCCAGGCACTGGTGGCTCAAGCCTGTAATCCTAGCTACTTGGCAGGCTGAGATGGGGAGGATCTCGCAAGCCCAGGCAAATACTTCAGGAGAACCAATCTCAACCAATAGCTAAGTGCAGTGAGGTACGCCTATCATTCCAAGCTATTCCAGAGGTCAGCCTGGGCAAAAAAAGTAAAAAGCTCATGAGATCCAATGTTAACAGAAAAAAGTTGGGCAAGGTGGCTGATGCCAGCAATGGTGGGAAGCAGGCTGGCCTTGGTAAAAAGCAAGATCTTATCTCCAACATAACCAGAACAAAAAGGGTTAGAGGTGTGGCTCAAGTGGTAGAGTGCCTGCCTAGCTAGTGCAAAGCCCTGAGTTCAAGCCCTAGTACCACTGGAGGAGGAAGAAGAGGAGGAGGAGGAGGAGAAGGAAGGAACACTGGGAGTCATAAAGCTGGGGCAGATACCATTCCCCGGGCCCCCAGAAGAGCTAAGTGTGGGCTGATCCTTAGGGAGTTAGAAGTCTCAGAGATTGGTCAGAGGACTGCAGATTTGCAGTACCCTGTCCTTGAGGGCTGGGTTCATGACACAGATCCAGTGACATTGTGATCTTCCATATATATTTCTGAAAACAAAAGCTGAACGTTCAAGGGAAGAGCCAGACATTGAGAAAATAAGGTGAGTTTCTATTGTTTCCCCCTAAAAGAAAGAGCAGCCCTGGGTGACTCTTGGGGGCAGCTTTGCCCAGGGGGCCTGTGCGCCTTCCTTCCTGAGAGATCCAACGGACAATCCACTCACCCGACTTACCATGTGGTTTCACGATGGGCAGTAACTCGGTGCAGACATTTCTAGTGGCAAAAAAGTTTGTCTTCAGCGTCATCTCAGCCTGAATGTCGAAGGGTGTGGGGTCATCCACTTTCAAACAGAGAAGGAAACAAAGAAAGTCACATTTCCCTCGGAAACTCCTGAGAAAGTTGATCCTGGCATAAGTTAATTGAAGGAAAAACAAGCTAACTTGAAACATTTATTTTATTTTATTTAGTTATTTATTTTGCATACTGGGGTTTGAACTCAGTGCCTACACCTTGAGCCACTCCACAGCCCTTTTTTGTAAAGGATATTTTTTCGAGATTGCCAAGGCTGTCTTAGAACTGAGATCCTCCTGATCTCTGCTTCCTGAGTAGCGAGGATTACAGGCGTAAGCCACCGGCACTGGCTACTTTGGGACAATTTTAAACCTCGGCTTGGTAGCTGGGAAACTTCAGTGAGCATCAGCACCGTACCGAAAGGGCCCGGGAAACGCAGCTTTCAGGTGGCACCCATTTCTCACCCGGAACGCTAGGACTGCTGGGCTTCCAGTGACACCTTCTGAGCATAGGAGGTTGGGGGGAGGGATGCTAAAATAAATGTGGATTTTTTTTCCCCCAGTGGAACTGGGATTTAGAACTCAAGGTTTCGCGATTACAAAACACTGAGCCACACCTCAGATCGTTTTGCTCTGGTTATTTTTGGGAAATGAGGGGGAGGTCTCTCCAAGTATTTGTCCAGGTTGGCCTAGAACCGCGATCCTCCCAATCTTAGCTTCCCAAGTAGCTAGGATTATAGGGGTGTGTCTTTTCTTTTCCGTTCTTTCTCTCTCTTTTTTTAAAGACAGGTTATTACTATGTAGCCCAGTCTGACCTCCAACAGTGCGCCAGGACGCCTGGTTAAAATGCAAGGTTTGATTCAGCTGGTGTGAGGCCAGAGCTTCTGCGTGAACAGTGAGTGCTCAGGTTTGCAGGTCCCACACTTTGAGCTGAAGGGGTTTCCAGCACACAAAGGGTTCTTTCACCTGTTGTCTCTCAGCCAAAGGCTAAGGGCTGCTGGGGGTAGGGAAGCTCATGCTTCCCCCTGCCCCATCCCGTTCTCAAAGTTCCTCTGGCCGAGTTGGAGGTGCTGTGCAAGGCAGCTTGCGGTCTCGTAAACAGCAAGAGTGCGTGCCAGGGCTAAAGGGATGGAGACCTCTCCCTTCACAATCCTTACTCAGTCTTGTCTTAGGCTTTTCTGCCCCACTTTGTGGTAAGTGAAGCTGGCCTGTTTTATTTCCTTACATTACCAGCACACCACAGCTAAGTAACTTTCTAAATCGACTAGTTAGTTGTTAGAATAAGGAATTTCCTTGATCTTCCCACCCCCAAGGAAGATGCGTCTTAAAACCACACTTACAAATTTGGTAAACAAACATGAGCTCCCTGGAGGAGGAGGGAACGAGGACTCTCTTCCTTTCTGCCAGAACCTATCAAAGCTCCCCATTAAGCAAAGTACAAACCCCACTAATGTGCAAGTGCATGCTAATTGTGTTTTAGAGGCTCATTTCCTGTCCGGAGCAGATGTCTCCTGGCATCTATGAATGCGCCCTTGTTTCGCGGAAAGCGAAAGCCCTAGTGATTTTGGCGACCCTTCCTGAGAAAAGGCTTCTGGTACGGGACAGAATGGCGATGAATTTAGCCAGGCGTGGTTCCCTCCCAGGAGGCCGGTTTTCTTGGAAACAGTCACAGCTGAAAGTTCCGGGAGGGGCCCGGGAGCGCACAGGCCCGCACAAGCAGCCGGCCCACGGGGCAGGTGGGGCGCACTGGATCTGTTGCCACGGTCATCGGTGCTCAGTGAGCCGCGCAAAGCGCAGACCGCCCTGCATCGCGGAAGCTGAGCGCATCCCCAGGGGTTGGCGCGGTCCGCCCACATCACTCAAGTGGGAGGGTGGGGAGGTTGTCGCTCGCTGCTCTGCACCCTCGGAGTGTCCCCTGGGGCCACCCCCCCCCCAAGCCCCGCACCTACTCTTGAAGGCGATGCCCGCGTTGTTGACCAGCACGTTGAGTCCCCCGTACTCCTTGCGCAGGAAGTCGCGCAGAACGCGAATGCTCTGCAGGTCGTCGATGTCCAGCTGGTGGAAACGCGGGCTCAGGCCCTCGGCCTGCAGCTGCTGCACCGCCGCCCGGCCCCGCGCCTCGTCCCGGGCCGTGAGTATCACGTCCCCCGAGAACTGGCGGCAGAGGTCACGGGTGATAGCGAAGCCGATGCCCTTGTTGGCCCCGGTCACCAGCGCCACGCGGCTGCAGGACGACATGGCCGGGTGGGCAGCGCGGGCACCCGGCGTGGACAGCGGACCTCGTGGGATGCGCGCGGCGGAGCCGAGTCTGTGTCCAGAGCAGCAGCGGAGAACTAAGTCCTGGGATCCAGTGCCGCGACTCTTGGAGGAGCAGGCCCCGGGTGTCGGTCCCTCCCCTCCGAGGAGGGGCTGTCTGCTGCCCAAGGTTTCGTAACGCCCCGACTCCGGGGTCCGCCTCCTCCCCGCGCCGCCCGGGTCCAGGCTCCCAGCTCAGCGGTGGTCTGCAGACAGACGTGCAGCCCCAAAGCAGCACTGGACGGTGGAGGGCCAGTTGCAACTACGGATTCGCGGTAGTTGGACTGAAGCAACTACTCTGGGAAAACCCCAAAAGGAGAAAAACAAGTGCTGAGTAATTTTCTTGGGCACAAGCCCATCATCCACTGCAATATGCAAACATTCGCTTTTGTCTAGCAGACAGCGAAATTACTTAGACGTTTGTGCCCAGAACAAAATTTCAGGTGTGGCAAGGTTTGGCCTTGTAATTAGAACTCCACCCATCTTCAGTGTAATCCCAGTGTGTTTGATCCAGTGCATTTGATGAGTGACTTTGAGATTTGAGCACAGCTATGCTCTCATCATGATTCAGCTGGCTAACTACCTGAGCCTTTGTTGCCTGGATTCTACCTTCTCTACAAGTCAACACCTGAGCTTAGGAGGGTGGGCATCTACCATAGTCTCCTTGTGGGCCTCAACCCTGTATTGCCTTCTTTTCTCCTAAAGACTAGTTGGAACTGTATTGGAAGGATACAAATGGTATTCAAGCCTTCTTTATCTTCTTTTTTGTTTTTTTGACAGTACTGGGATTTGCACTCAGGGTCTTTGTGCTTACCAGGCTCTGCCACTTGAGCCACTCCCCCAGCCCTCATGCTTTCTTTCTTTTTCTTCTTCAGTGTTTTGATTTTTGCTTTTTTGAGATGGGGGTCTTGCTGTTGTGGTGGTGCATGCTTGTAATCCCAGCTACTGGGAGACTGAGGCAGGAGGGTCACTTTTTTTTTTTTGTTTAGTAATAGAGTCTCTATATGGTGCCCACAGTGGTCTGGAACTTGAGGTCCTCCTGCCTTAGCCTCCTAGTTGCTGGGACTGTGGGCGTGTACCACTGTGTCCTGCTTTTTTCATTTTTTCTCCCTCTCTGATGTCTGGCTAAAGGTTTAACCTCCCCTTCCTCTCTCAAGGAACCAACCTTTAGTTTCACTGCTTTTTTTTTTTTTCCCATGCTTTTTTCTGGTTACATTGGTTTCTGTTCTGATCTTTACCTTCTTTCTTCTGCTTACTTTGAGTTTTATTTGCCAAGCTTGGCCTGGCCTGAAACTTATCGTGTAGCACAAGTTGGCCTCCAACTCAGGATCTTCCTGCCCCAGTCTCAGACTGCTGGGTTTATTTGTTTTTTACTTAGTCTCTTACAATGGAAGCTGAAATCATTGATGTGATCATTCCTTATCCAAATAGGAATTACAAGCTATATGTTTCCCTTAAAGTACTATGTAACGGTACCCCACAGATAATGACATGTTATTTTACTCAGGCCAAAATACTTTCTAGGGGCAGGGAGGGAGTTGAGGGGAGAGATGGTGGGGGTGATCTAATCAATGTACAATATAAGCCTATTTGAAATTGTCACAATGAATCCCCCTTGTACAATGACTATATCCTAATAAAATACTTTCTAATTTATCTTCTGATATCTTCTTTGGCCAACAATTTAAAATTTCTTTTTGCTTGCTTTTAATTTCCAGCTCATTTGGGAATTTCCAGCTACCATGCTGTTATTGATTCCTAACTTAATTTCCTTATGATAAGAAAAGAGACTCAAGTTCTTTTTAGAGTTTGAGAAGCAGTAGGGCATGGTGGCCCACACCTGTAGTCCCAGCTACTTGAGAGGGTAAGGCAGGAGGATTACTTGAGGCCAGGAGGCAAGGAATGCAGGGTTAGCCTAGTCAACATAGTGAGCTGCTTCTCCCCAAAAAATGTTTCAAAAGGTGAGAGATTGAAGCCTGTTTGTCTAATGGTAATAATCTCAGAGAAAGGTAAACATTGGTGAAGGAGAGAGAGAATAAGTGCAAGAACAAGGGCTAGTGAAATGGCTCAAGTGGTGGGGAGCCTGCCTAGCAAGCATGAGGCCCTGAGTTCAAACCCCAGTGCCACCAAAAAAAAAAAAGTGCTGGAACAAAATGTGCAGGAAGACATGATGGTGGATCTGGGCTCAGGCTGGTGGAGGCCTTGACAGCAAGGCCCCCCATTCTTTAGTAATGGAAGGGAAGGCCAGACCAGTATGTCTGCTTCCAAGTGAGTTAGAGCAATGGAGGCCCTGCAGGCATCTGTTGGCTCTTGGAGGCATGAGAAATTTGAGGTCATCACTGAGAAAGATTGATTTGGGAGATTTTGCAGCGTGCTAAAGTGGATTGATTGGGAATCAGGCAGCACTGACTATATGAATTGGACACCCATTTGGGATCCATGGTCATAAATGTTAGGGGACCTTGATCAGCTTCTTGACTATTCCCTCTCCTCCCAAGTGTCCAGCTGCTACAGCAGGCTGGGGTGCAGTGGCTGAGTTTGAGGTTCACACATCAGAGAGAAAGATGTTTGCCAAAAAGGATAAGCATGTTGGATTATGGCCATTAGGGACAGAAGAAAGGATGGGATGGCACTGGAGCTTTATAAGGAAGGAAAGCAAAGGCCAGATAGAGTGCAGGTCTGAGGGCAGGGATTCTGGGGGAAATACTGGAGGCTGGAGTCAACCAGAGGGGACCATGTCTTAGTCCACTTTCTGTTTCCATAACAAAATACCTGAGCATGGGTGATTCATAAAGAAAAGAGTATTATCTAGCTCATGGTTCTGGAGATCTGGGATCATGGCACTGGTATCTGTTCAGCATCTGGTAAGAGCCATGTTCTGTATATTGTGGTGTAGAAGCAGAAAGGGGAAGTGGGCACCAATGGAAGGGGAAGATGTATGGAAAGACAATGAGGGGAGGTGCCAGGCTCCTTCAGATAGTCTTATGATAACTATCCTCATTCTTTTTCTTTTTTTTTTTTCAGTACTGGGGTGTAAATTCAGGGCCTTCACCTTGAGCCACTCCACCAGCACTTTTTGTGATGGGTATTTTCAAGATACGGTCTTGTGAACTATTTGCCTGGGCTAGCTTTGAACTGATGTGGCAGGAAGGCAGAGAGGGGGAAGGGAGATAATAAAATGATAATGAGAGTTAATGAGTGCCACCATGAAACAAAGAAAATCTGGAGTTGGGGAATGTTACCTGGAGATCAGAAAAGGCTTACCTTGCCCCAGAGGTTAAAGCAGCCAATGAAATAACATGTGATTACCTATGGAACAAGTTGTAAAACCCCCCATTTCTGTAACCCCCTCTAAATGGTATATAAGGAAAGCCCCCTTTGTTCTTGGGGCTCAGTGTTTGCATTCAAGTCCTCTGAGTCACTGCCAGCTTGCTTAATAAACTTGCTTCCTGAAAACTGTGGTGTCCCATCTCTCTCTCTGAGCTGTCCTACATTTCTGGGGTGCTCATCTAGGATTTGGAAGGTGGTGTTTTCACCTCCTTGTCTCTGGCTCAGTGTCCCCAGCTTGCTGGGAGGGCTGCCCTACCAGGTGCCACCAGACAGCATTGATCCGAGAGGAGGGAGCCTCTCTTCCAGTGAGCCAAGGAGGTGAGTTCCAGTTGTGCAAAGGAACCTGAAAAGGCTCAGGAATCAACCTGGGAGCCCCACTCATTAGACTGGTAAGAACTCAGGTTCAAATTCAGGCCTGCCTCAGGAGGTAGAGGGGAGTCTGATCAACTCCCAAAGATACCCTAGTAACCACCATTTGGGGTGAAACCATGTCTTTCAGGTTCGGGAATGGGGTGGATGTACTGTGCTGTGTGAGTGTGTGAAAGTGAGAGCCTGAGACATAGCCTGGTTACGAAGTGAGTGTGGGGTCCTGATCTGCGGGTCCATGGTGAGTTCATATGGTCTAGGGTGAGCCCTAACAGGGCCTCCAGTCTGGGGCTTAAATAGACTCACTACAGCCAAGCGATGCCTAAATCCCTGTGAGGGGAGCAGCCAGAGATGGACAAAGCAAGTGGTGTTATTTGTTTTCCCCTGTGTACTGGAGAGGAGAACCCTTTACCTCCTCTCTACAGCCCTCATCCCTTCAGTCTTTGTCTCTATCTAGATGCCTGGTAAACGGGAGGAATGGGAGGAAGTCAGAGTAAGAACACCCCCCTAGAATGCATGCTTAAGAACTTAAAGGGGGGATTTAATGGAGATTACAGGGTCAAGCTGACTCTTGGCAAGCTTAGGACCTTCTGTGAAAATATGTAGGGCTATGGTAGCCAGGGTGGCAGCAGCCTCTAGGTACAGGAAAAACTGTAAAAAGCCAGAGAAACCCATGTTAGTGGGGGACCCCAAGGAATCCCCAACCCCCCTTATGTGCCACTGTACAGATTAGAGAATTTCTAGGAGCTTCAGGTTTCTGCAGGATCTGGATATCCAATTACTTTCTCTTGACAAAACCCCACTATAAAGCCACAAAGCAGGGAAAATGGAAACCCATGGTATGGGGAGAGGAGCAAGAAAAGGCCTTTAAAAAAATTAAGGGGACACTCACAAATGCCCCTGCTCTGGGTTTGCCAGATGTGATGAAGCCCTTCTTCCTATATGTACATGAAAGACTGAGGACCCCTGTAGGAGTTTTGACCCAGCTGCTAGGTTCCTGGCACTGCCAGGTGGCTCATTTATCAAAGCAGTTTCCTGAGCTGCCCTGCTGTGTGCCTTGGTGCCTACTGCCATCTTGGTGGCTGAAGCAGACAAGCTTACTTTGGGACAAGAATTCACAGTCCAAGTTCCCCACTGTGTTTTGACTCTCATGGAATATAAAGAAAATGATTGGTTAACAAACTCCTGAATGGTCAGATATCAAAGCACGTTATGTGAAAACTTGCATGTCTGTCTAGAGGTTATTAAGACTCTAAACCCAGCCACCATTACTGGTTGATTCAGCCCCACCAGAGCATGACTGTTCAGAGATTATGGATGAGGTGTTCTCCAGCTGGCCAG